TTGCAAATTGCCCATCTGGACAGGATATATAAATGAATTAGATCTTAACAGTAAAATCAGTACTATTTGCTTCATTATTCAAGGTCAGTTAAAACCCAGCACATAAACTACCTGTGAAATAAAAGCTTTTAATGTTATATTAATGTTACTGTTTTAACAAAGAGGGAGAGTGATTTCAGTGATTCTTTTATATGTGGCTTCATTTATGTATGAAAAGCAACTGCCTAACAAGTAAAATAATGAAAAAACTATTGTTTTCCTAAGGCATAGAGATGCATATATATTTGTATGTATGTAGGATACAAAGTATCTATCTATAATTCTGGACATTAGTGACATTCCTTACTCAAGAATCAAATTAGAAGGACTATTAATTATTGTAATATTTATTATTACAATATTTATTAATTATTGTAATATTTATATTGTAAATATTAGCAACATTTATCTCCAATCTTGTTAAAACTTCACATTTCACAAATGTATTTCTATATTTTTTTAAAACCAAAATTTATCAGTTCTGACCAAAATAATCTAAACTTGCATTTTTTGCCTAACTTATTTTGTTCGATGCATGTTCAGAATACTCATGCTGATTTACTTCTAAAAGTTATCTTTTATCTCTTGATACTTTATGCTGTCCAATGCCTCTGTAAGTATGCAGCCTCTGATGATACCTCAAGAACAGCAGTATTTGCTTTTGATAGTTTAGAAAATTTCAAAATTTCACTTAGCCTATTAATCCATTAATTTTGCTGAACTGAGGAAACTGTATGCTGTCTTTTCTGGTTTTCCTCTGGGAATACAAAAGAAAGATCTTGGCCTATAAAAAGCCCACACTTCAGTAAGACCATAGACCTATACAAGCTACATGAAATCACACATGCCTTAAAACTTTCAGTGCACTAATGTGGAAGAAAAGTATGTACAAGCATCTATAAATATTGTCCTTTATTTTGTCATTTCCAAGTACTTAACAAGCTCTGCAGAGATAATGAAAACCTCTCTTTTATGAAACTAGATTTTACAGGTATAATGTGATGTTTCTAGAGCTTCCACAACTGCAAATGGTTACTGGTTCTCTTATAAAGCTGGAATTTGGTTTTGCATTTATTCTACTGAGACCATGAGATTTTATATGTTTGGAAGAGCTACATGTGATACGTATTTAAATGCAGTGTATCCTGGAATGCGGATTAATATCCTTTACCTAGAAAAAATCCTTAAGAAAACAAGTCGATTTTAAAAATACAAAAGTTCTAAACTGTGCTTTATGAAATAACTGCAAATTTCTCCCGATTGGCTGGTGTAATTCAGAGTAAAAGCCTGACCTAGAGAACATAATACATCATAAATTAATTTACCAGAGAGATGATTCCTTCATTTTCTATCTTACCTCTAATTCTGTCAGACTTTTCTGAAAAAATGATAAGGTCAAACATCTGATAATTTAACTTATAACATGTACTCTGTCACATCATACTAGACTGAGGGCTGATCTACTTAATTTACAGTACTATTAATGTCATTAGTATATTATGTCCTTTGGATCAAATTTTGCCCTCATTTTCCACCAATGAATCTAGACAGTGTTACTGTTTTATTAAGGGCAGAATTTGGAACAATTAGCTATCTCTCCTTTTACATTAATTTAGGAAGAGAAAGGCATTTCAAAGCTGTGCATCATCTGAATTTCTTGAAAGATGTTAAAATATACCACCCTTACCAATTCTTCTTGGTACAAAATCAGATGGTTCGTTACGTACAATCCAGACACATACTTAAGAGAGGAGAGCTGACGTTGTTTCTGGGTATTGCCTGTTAGAGGAATCCTAGTTAAAATACAGTTGGGCAGTCATGCGTGCTTTTCTTCAGGATTAAAACCCCCAACTCTATAGCTGCAGATCTTTGTCATGGATGTATCATTAAGAGTCATCGTACATGGGACTCAGCGTCACAGGCAATCTGAACACTTGCCTTGTGCTCTATGCATGATGTCCCCTTACAGAGTAGTTACGTTTCTCAGAACTTTTAATACTTAATCTCCTCCAAGGGCATGAAGACAGAAACAGTTCCTAGCTCGATCCACACGTATCCAGTGGGTAAAAACCCTTGAGAGACACTAGCAAAACTTCTCAACTCAGTATAGCCTCATCTGATTTATAATCCAAATGTATTTCTCGTGAATAAGCTAAACAGGGGAAGAAATGGATTTACTACTGATAGTCTACCAAGTACTACACTTTGAAATACAAATCAACAGTGTTAAGGGCTCTAAACCAGCTTCGTAATGATGGTCACATAAAAACACATGCATCGAATGGCAAATAATAATTCTTACAAATTTACGTTTACTCCTGAAAATGAGATTAATGAAAAAATGTATTAACTAGAAAGAATGCCACAGATGATTAAAGAGTATAGTTTTTTTTATAAAAACATACTATGAGGAAAAAGACTTCAGGCAATAACATGCAGTGGACTAATTAGAAAAAGAAAGTAGGCCATCTAACAAAAATCGTACTGTTTAATCAGGCCATGAAAGCAATGCAAAGGGGGTAGGAGAACACTGCAAGTTGTTGAGTCAGATCTTTTAGTTTCAGTAAGAGGCACACAGATCAAAAACGGATTAGATTCTATCATAGTATCCCACTGATAGCATACATACGAAGAAAGTAGGGCATTTACATGTACTCCCTCACTTTGGTGCTAAAATTTTAAACTTGTTGCACAATTTAAAGCTAAGTGCGAAAACCATCTCTTGTCTGATTATCACAGTCTCCAAAGTAAAGTACTGTAAAATGAAAATATTTTTGGGGGGTAAATTTCAATGATCTCAAAGGTCCCTTCCAACCATGAAGATTCTGTAATTCTGTAATTCTTAATTCAAGGTGTCAACTAACATACTTAAAACCTTTTCCCATACTTCTGTCACATATTCAGACAAACCACGCTGTGCTTTACATGGAATAAATAAACCCTTTCTTCTCCCATGCTTTATGGGACTGTAATGTTTAGAGATACAGGGGAAGGAAAAGGAAGGGAAAAAACCAGTCTTTTGGGGTACCAACAAAATCTAGATGGAGAAGCTACAGCTTTCTGAAAGACAAAACTAAGTTGCCCATATGGATGCTTAGCTCTAAGACAGTCTGGATCCATCCCAGAGCTAGAGTAACAGAGGCTTAAGGCAGCTGCAAAGCGCTACTAGGACACATATGTATGACTTTAAAACAAAAACTGGTTTGAATTAAAGTTATGGACATATTTTAAACTGGAAGACAGAAAGACTCGGAAGTTTTCCACTCTTGTCACTAGGAAACATAAATAGAGTAGCAGCGAGGTGGAAGAACCATCTGCAAGACTATGAGGAGTTTTACAGCTTTTGCCTCCACAAAGTGTTTAAAAAGTGAAAACTTGAAAAATCAAAACAGCTTAATGAGAAAAGTAATCTTTTTCGTATTAGTTGAAAAGCAGTTAAAGAAAAGGTACCACTTCAGTCATTGGAGAGTCCAGAACATAAAGCAATTCTTCAGCCAGATGCTCTATTCAGTTCACAACGCAGGAACCCTTTTAGCTTACGAGAACACTGAGCAGTATTGTGCACACCAAATGATGCAGCCTTGGAAGATACTGCTCCATCTTGTAGAGTTAGGGATGCTCTAAGTAACAACCTGCACACTGAAATTATCTGACAAACCAAAGCAAGGGTCTGAGCAAGCCACCTAACTAGAACAGCATACACTTAATAGGGAACCAGCATCTGGTAGACCTCTACCATTGAGACAGTTCCTATGAGAACTTCTCCTTATGAGCAAGGCAATATGAAACAATAGTGATAAGCAGCTAACATCAGGAAGTTTGGAAGTTTATTTTGGATAGTTAGAACAGCATTTGAAAATCATCACAACTAGTTTTTCTTTCTGTGATTTCCAATATATTTTGTTTTCACTTGTATAATTAAAATGCTTAGCACTTTTGTGTTGACTTTGTGGCTACAAAAGAATAATGCAAACAGAAAAAGATAGAACCAGACATTTCTGGCTTGGCTTGAAATGAGCCAAGTCTGACTGAGTCCTCTTTTTATGTACACATGTCTAGCTTCCAAATCTACAAGAGATGAAGCTGGTGCAGATTACATAATTATTTTTGCAAATTCAGCTTTGAATAATATACTTGATTATAAAACTAACATAACAATAATTTTCTTTTAGGGAAAGACTATAAATGTAAAAGCTTTCAGAGCTCCTAGACTTCATTAAAAAGTGAATCCTGAAAAAAGTTCAGCATAGCAACATGAATATCCAGGGATACCTGTTTTACCCTGTTATGTCAACCATTCTTTTAAACAGTGAAATCAACATGTATGCAGCCATGAAGAACATTCCAATGTTTTCTTTTTCTCATCTAACTTTTGTAAATATGTGTTAGAAGACTTGCATAGGACACTCACTGCACAGTGCCAGTGAGTAACTCACAGAAGTTTGATTAAAAACCTAAAATAATCCTCAGGAAAGACAAAAAACCCCTGATATTAAATCACTACTAGTGCAATTTGCCCCTTCAGCTCATCCACTCTCCTACTTCTGTTATTTTTTGAAATAAAAATACAATACACATCCCATGCTTTAAGTCAAAGGAATGACGTTTATTACTTCAGGGTCTGTTCTAGCTCAGAATTTATAAATTTTGTCTTCATTTCCATTTTTTGTGGCTCTGCTATATAACACTAACTGCACAAACAGCTACACTAAGAACATTTCTCTGTATCCAACTGTATTCCCCTTCAACACAAAACACATAGGTTTCTTTGAATCCTCTATGCAGTAGGTCAGCTTTGCCATCCTTGGAAACTGATTCCCTCCTCCCCTCCTGAGTGTTTTTCACTCCATTGGGTGCAGTTACATATGACTGCTGGTAAACGCATTTGGAAAACATATGGAACCAGGCAAGTGAAGTTGTTTTTAATTTAAAACTGGTGCTTTTTGCTTATGCTTGCTTACCTCATTGTCTGACTCCACAAGCACTTGATCATATTCACTAAGAGCTACTAGGAACATGATAGATGTGACATTTTCAAAGCAATGTATCCATTTTCTTCTTTCTGATCGCTGGCCTCCTACATCCACCATTCTGCAAAATTAATACCTACATTAACTTCATGAATGCCTTAACAGATAAAGACATAAGCACACACAAAATGACAAAATTCAAGAATTTAGTTGAAAACACAGTTTGGTTTCATTTTCCTTAATGATTTTTTCCACTGATGTTTAATGGAATCTGCTGTAAGTATACAGTTAATCATATTTGCTTTTAAGTCTGATGTGTTTTCTGTATTAGAATTATTGTGGATCTCAAAACTCTCAGATTTCTGAGATACAAAGGTCTCACAAGCCATGATTTGGCGATGTGTCGAATCTGCTCTATTCAGCAGAAACAGATGTGAACAGACTAGACTTGGTGGTTTGCTCTTTTCGCCCACAAATCACCAGAGACAAAATTTCCAACTTGTTAAAGCTGCCCCATTTTAAGAGGACAAATAGAACACAACACGTATCTAGTATAAGTTTTAAGAGCCAAAATCAAAACTCTAATTTGCTTGCACTTCATCCCATGTCTCAGTGTACCTAAACACAGGCGTCCAACTTGCAATTGCGTATTTTTTAAACAACTGTTTTGCACTCAATTAGGATGAATTCTCCCTAAACAAGAGTAATTTCTCTTTAAAAATCAAGTACACAAGTTGTAACTTTGTATTCCATAATTTACTTGAATTACAGGTGATTATTTCAGATTATTATTCATAGTGAAACTTTGATTATGTATTATTGAAAAGACAAATTGCAGGTTTTCTTTGAGTAATAACTACTTTCAGAAAATGACGAACCTAATTGTCTGTTATCATTTTGACATCTTTAACATCCACTCTTTCTCAGATGTGGACAATTAGATTAAAATATATTGATCAAGCTCAAATTTTAAAAACATAGAGTAATTGCTTTTCATGTACTTTTAACTGATATCCTACACATGGCATTACTAATGTGAAAGGAGACAAAAGAAACAAAGCAAGTGGGTGTTAAAACTTTTTTTTTTTCTACCTGAAAATGACGCTTTGTAAGTCGAATGGATATTCAATGATCCCCGTTGTTGGGACTCGAACTCTGAGCACATCTTGCTGAGTTGGCAGATAGGTGGAATCTGCTATGCGGTCCAAGTCATTAAGATAGCTACAAACAGGGAGAAACAACAGGAATGCAAGACAGTGACACCATCATCCCACCGAGGAAAAGAGAAAGGAAGACTTGGGAATGGAAATGGGCTGTGGGGTAGGAAAAAGTACAACAGAAAAAAGAGCATTATCGGCATAAAACAGGGGACAAAGTATAAAAGTGTGCTCCATCCTCCCTTCCTGCACACTTTCATAGCTTCAAGAGAATTCTACAGAAGGGTAGCATAATTATTCTGGTTATTTTCATACAAGTTTGTTGTTTTTAATAGGTAAATTCACCAAATATTAAATGTTTTCAATTGAATAATTCTAGGCAATTTAGAGACAATATAACGTGAAAAATATAAAATTGCAGATTTATTTGAATGCGTAACATATTTTACTATATTCATTCTGCACAAATACATGGACAGAAAAACATGAACTTCCCAAAGAACATTCCTATAGAATAGAACATTATCAGTTATAAAATGATAGGAGGATAAATGGTACTGTCTGGAGATTAAATTGAAAAAAAGGAAAAAACCCATCCACTGACAAATTAAAAAAAACTCTCTGGACCTTGTTACCAGAAGGCAGCACTGGTTATTTAGTGGGATCTCTGGAACCTGAAAGTCCTACATTCACACTTCTGATTAAGTTAATAAGTCTGCAGTTCATTAAATACTCTCCAGTTGGTTAGCAAAGAACCCCAAATGGTTATAAAATTGCTTGTAAAGGTTCATTAACTACAACACAAAACTCTTCTGTGATTGCTTAATGATGGGTTTCAACCATAAAGCACCGGTGTGCTGGAGGTTTTAATGAATTCTCATAAAAAAGATACTTCAAAAAAGATGTGTGTGTCTGCATTAGCCTGTTTAGGTCCAGGAGCTAGACATCACATGAAATCAGTGCACCAGGAAGCTTGGGCTCTCCGGATGGTAGATGCCTGGGGTGGTTGAGGCCCCATCCCCTGGAGAAAAAGACTGCTTCAGGAAATTGAGTCCTTGGGCATTCCTTGGTTACCTCCTAGCACAAGAATGACCTAGAGTTAACCACTGAGAAGATAAATTAACCTATGGATCCCCTCGTTCACTCTAGGAATCTCCACTCTAGGAGAGGAGAGCAACGGTCTTGTAATTTATTGAATGATGATCAACTATCCCTAAACTCTGAACATGTTCTTTTCCTTGTAGCTATTAGAAAGTGCTCTTCTAAAATAAACCCACACAAGAAATAAATAAGACTTCTTCTATATGCTCTAAAAGATTTCTGTATGAAACGGAGAGAAAATTATCCTGAACAATGACAGAAACAAAGCAATTTGATTTTTACCTTACAGCAAAAATACATAAGAATTGATTTGTTAGGTCTGGGAGGGAGTCAAAAGCATAATAAAATCTCCCTCACGACAATTTTATTCATGAAAGATTAATCCAAGAGCAAGCACTGAATGTGAGAAAGTCACTCATAGTTATAAAAGATGTATTGAATCACACAATATATCTCATGTAGTTCAGAAACTACTACTCCGAAAATATTTTCTGAGAACACTGATTAGTTTCTGCCAATAAGGAAAAGGCTTGAGACTCTGAGAACTTCATCTGCCCTCAGGTGTTTTACACAAAAAAGCTGAATGGATAAGCACATTACTGAATTGTTGAGGGGCGGAGGGGGAAGTGTATGTGAACAAAATTGGTAACTACCACAGTAAGAAACTTATAGAGACTGTGAACCAGCTCCTTTTTCCCTCTCACCCCCCCAAAAAATAGGTTATGTTTGGTGACTGTATTTTGGAAGGGTCATTCTGGGTCATTACATGCTATAGTGGTATTCACAACAGCAGAATTTTAACTGAATAAACTAGTAGGTGGCCCATTTATACATTTGTCTTGTTGCATTCCTTGGGCAAGCTTCAGCTGTGGTCTCCAATGTGAGGCTGGTTATCGCACCTCTGCACCACCAGCATACTCCATGCACTGCTAATGTGCTGAAATGCACATCTGGCTGATTTTAAAAAGGCAATAATGCAAAAGGATGTTATTAAATAGTTAAATCTCATTTGCGTTACTGGAGAACATTAAACAGGCAGATGAGTATTTTTTTTCGCCCTAACACAAATCATTGATGTCATCAAGCTCCAGAGGCATTCATCTATCTCCTTAAAAAATACTTAGGTTTTCCTCATCCTCTTTCGGTTCTGCTCAAGTTCTGCTCATTCAATTACTAAACAGCAGCCCTCTGACTCATTTCACCTGTAGCATCTTACAAAGCCTCTACAGTCCATAGAAGAGACCTTATACGATCTTATGGAGCCCTATTTCTGTCCCAAGATTCCTTCCTCTAACAGATCAAAGGATGTTGGGCTCTCTAAGAAGTATCCTAAAACATACATGCAAACTCAGAGTCAAGAAAACTGTGTCAAAAACATTAAGAATACCTCAGAGAAAAAAGAATCAGATAGCATGCACAAAATCCTTTAAAAATAAAATCTTTGTGATACTGACAAATCATAACCAGAATCCAGTTTGACAAAAGCAATTTAGAATACATCCTGCATTTTTTAAATAATGACATTTAGCCCCTACCACTTTTCCTGCTACCTTACTTTTAAATCTTTCATTATTGCTCCTTTCAAGCTGTGAACATACAGCAAATAGTCAATGAAATTCTCTTTCAATAGAAATAAAGAAAATTTTCTTTGAAGTTTTGAATTATTTTGCCTTTAACAGAGATGTTTCTGCTGAAGAATTACTTGTGCTGGAATTCAGATTTTAATGAAGTTTGTGCGTGGTTGCTCTGAAGCAAAGGAGTAGGTATTTTCTGCTACTGACTTTAACGGTTCTGCAGATCAGTTACACTTCTTGTTACCGTATGAGAATACGTAACTTCACATTCTGCTATCAACTTCAAAAGGATTAAACATTTTTCTGAAAATCAGACTGAAAGCTTTGCCTGCAGCAGCAATGCGAAGTTCCCTTCAAGATACTCTAAAATCATTAAAAACTCTTTAAGTGTCTGTTAAAATTCAAGTAGCCTCTAAAACAAAGCAACAAAATTCATCAAAAAAATCTATTATCTTTAGGATATGTACAAGAAGAACATGTATCATTGTGACTGACATCAGGGTCTTTCTTTTCCATTGTACCCACTGCTTTATATCACATCTGAAGATTTTTGATGTATTGCAGAAATAAATTGTCTCTCTTCCTTCATGTGCACTCTTCCTACAATGCCAGTGGAAGCAAATCTGCACATTTGCACTCAACGCATTATCATGACTTTTATATGAATTGCATACACTTCTATGTCCACAGTATTACATAGAAAAAACCCAACACATTTTCTCTTCTTAAAGCAAAAGAATAGATTTTTGCATGTGGGGTAACAGTTTGATTTTTTTAATAAATGATTTGTTGGGTTGACTCCTTGTTTAAGATGCTGAGAGGGGACACATAAATGAACAGGCGACTATTTACATAAAGCAAAAAGACAACTGGAGTACCATTAATATTTAAAGACATACTACCAACATACACAATTTTCAAGTATTCCTACTATAGTTGTTCCTGTGACATTGAAATTTAGAATTTCATTCATTTGGTTTATCATTGTTTTGTTCTTTGTCACAATGAAGTCCTAATTTTTAAAATCTTCCTCATAACAAAAGTGTTTGAAATTTAATTTTTATTTTCCCACATGAAAAGAAATTCTCTGAACATCAGGGGAATGCAGGGATGCACGCATATAGTTTAAGTATCCTACAGCATATTAAACTAAAACTTACTTGCTTTTAAATTAATTTAGCAAGCAGCAACTTTAAATGAAAACATCAAAACGTGCTAGCTAATGCCAGTTCTTTTCCACCTTCAACTGTGCTGGCTCAAGCCCCACTCTAGCTGCACGTCTGCCCAGCCTCAGCTGCCAGCTCTTTCGCTTGTGCAATGGCTTGATAACACATTTCTGTCAAAATGATTTGGCACAGCGAAGAAAACCTATTAAAATTGTTCAAATTAAGCTATTTGATGGATAGAGCCTGGGGTGTGGGAAGTCCATACACTCCAGCAGGAAAGCAGGGTGGAGTTACTTCCTCCACTGGCTTATCTGCAACCAGAAAAGGACTTATGAAGCCAGCACTATGTGAAATGTCTTGAGTCACACAATTCAGATGGGTGAGGAGTGAAAGAAAATTAAGATTTTTATTGCTTTTTTGTATATCTGTTTATTAGTCACCATGGCTTTAAAGCACTTATCTAATGCAGCCCTAAACAAAGTACTGACGAATACACTGCTCACCTGGGCAAACAAATCCTTTGCACATATAAAAAAAATTAAGCATGTAAGAGATATGCACAGAGGATATTATTTTAGGATAAGCACCTAACTCAAAATGTATGCACAAATATTGCACTCAGCCGTTGCAATGCAACTAACTCTTCAGCATATTCTAGAAAGGGCTACACATGCACCCTTGCAAACAAACCACAAGACTTGTCATAAACACGAACTTCCACGAAGAGTGCTGCCAACAACTGCCCAAACCAGATGTTTCCTCAGTTTATTAACTTCAAAAATTTAAAATCATAATAATGACATGGATATTGGAAATACCCTGGCAGCTGTCCTGAGGGCTAGTCCAGAAGTGGGTAACCACCAGCCTTATCATGGGGAACTCAGTTGCACGGGCAGCAGCAACTGTGCAAGACGTTTAGGTCTCAACCACATGGCACTCTGCGTTTATTTTTATCACCGGCTAAGAAATTTCTTACTTCGATAAGACACTGTAGCTATATGGCCTCTCACCCAAACGGTACCTACTCAGCTAGGCATTATATAAAGGAACAAAAAAAGGGAGAATCGCATAAAATTACTTTAAAAAAAATAATAATCAAACCACATGGGTCTGAGTAAATTTATAGTACAGACCAACTTTAAAAAGTTAATTATACCTGTAATTAGTTTCGTAAAAATGAATTTTACTGGCTGCTGAGGTAATTTTCCAGGGGGTTGCTATAG